TTTTGGTTTCTGGCTGCTTGTTTTCTTGTGTCAAACCTAAAGCTTTATTTCAGTAATTTTAAGAGTGCAAATTTAGTGTAGTCAGAAAATTTTTTTAAAAATTTAATTTTGAAATACTGTGTTTGTTTTTAAAAGTTTTATTGTTTATTATTATTGTACAGTAAGTCTGTTATCCGTACGTCCATAATCCGGAATGATTTATAATCCCGACCTCAAAGGTACAAACTTTAGCATGCGCATAATGCGTTTATGCATGCACATTTAATGTATAACGGACGGTATAAGCTAGGCTAAAATTATCTAAGGCATTTCAGCTAATGTTGCAGATTGCGCTGTTGCTTTCTTCTAATTGTATCTGGCTTATTATTTTTTGGGGACTGTTAGAACAATTTTATAAAAATTAAGCTTGAACTTTCGATTATGTCAAAAAGAGTTTCCAATCTGGAGCTGCCAAAGGATCTGCAAAGTGAAAGCATGTTTCGATGTCTATTAAACAAAAAGTGGAATTACTGCAAAAAATGGATAAAGGCCTATCCGTCTCAAAATTATGCAAGAAGTATGTCATTGGAAAGTCCAATATATATGACACAAGAAAAAGGAACTATTTGAATTTTTTGTGGAAGCATCCTAAACAACTTACATTGAAAGAAATGTTTAATAAAGTAAACAAATAAATGTTAAGCTTTTTTTTTTTGTAAATTTTGATACCCTTTACATCATAATTGTTCTTTATTTCATAAATTACAATTTCATGTTTTTAATTGTCTAACTTCTGCATTTCATCTTACCAGATTTAAATTGATGATTTGTAATCCGGACAAACCCCTAATCCGGAATCGCCAAAGTCCCGACGAGTCCGGATTACGGACTTTGTACCATATATGTTTAATACAGTCAAAAGTCGTTAATTCGGACACCCATAATCCGGACCTCAAAGCTACAAACTTTCTGCGCATGCGTCACGTTCACGCATGCGCACAGACGTTTACGAGAGTGCATAAGACCCTTACAGCTGCGAATATGTTTGTGCGCATGCGCGTTTAATGTGTAACGGAGTTATACGCTAAGCTAAAGTTATCTAATTCAGTTAATGTTGCAGATTGCGTTGTTCCTTAATCTTTGAATTGGATCCGGCTTATTATTTTTTGCAGACTGTTAGAGCAATTTTATAAAAGTAAGCTTGAACTTTCGATTATGTCAAATAGAATTTCCGATATATATTTACTACAAAGCGAAAGTATGTTTTGAAATCCGAAATCTGTTTATCAATTTCACGCTGCTCGGAGGCAGAGGGGGGGGGCAGAAATGTCAATATTAGATTATGATAGATTAGAAAGATTATGTCAATTAGAATTTCCGATATATATTTACTAATATGTAATTTGTATCTACAAAGCGAAAGTATGTTTTGAAATCCGAAATCTGTTTATCAATTTCACCCTGCGGATTGGAAGTTGATCTGTCAGCACTATCCTTATCTTCAGAGCAGATGTTTTTATTTTATTTGGTTTATAATTCCGTACTAAGTGTAGTATTTCATCTCGATATACTCTGTCTTTGATATGATTTAAATCAAGTTCCTTGTCGTTATAATTCGCTTCGGATAGTGAAGAAAGTGACCCAGAGGTTTTTGAAAACGAAAACATTTCGATTGACAAATTAGTCGGTATTCTCAACACAGCAATTATAGGACTTGAACAGCGGAACTTTGTAACTAAACAAGAAATTATGTCTGTTTAATAGAATTAAAGAGAAAGTATTATCACATGAAAACGAAGCAACTTACATTGAAGGAAATGTTTAATGAAGTAAACAAATAAATATTAAGCTTTTTCTTTTTGTAAATTTTGATACCCTTTAGATCATAATTGTTCTTTATTTCATAAATTACGGTTTCATATTTTTAATTTTGTAATTTCTGCATGCCATCTTCCCAGATTTAAACTGATGATCTATAATCCGGAAAAATCGATAATCCGGAATCGCCGAAGTCCCGACGAGTCCGGATTAACGACTTTTGACTGTATTATATAAAATATTTGCAGAAGGTTAAGCTGTTGTTAGTGGGAGAATGCTGGATTTCAGATGACGTGAAGTTATGAATGTTTTCATTTAATTTTATTTAATTATTATTATTATTTTTAGTTTTATTTCTTGCATGTGGCAATCGAAAGATGTGGAATATTTAAAATTTCGAATGAAAGTTGTTTAGTGTGTTGAATTCCATGACATTGTTTTATCGTTTAATCAATTTACTATTCTGTTTACATATAATAATATCACTGTTCACCACTGTAAACAAAAATTTGCTATTCTGTTTACGTTTATAGCTCACTTTGCAGTGCTCTGATCTGATGAGCGTACAGATTTATTTACTCAATAATTGTTTAAAAGAATTGTTCATTCTACTATTTCATGATGAATATTACATAGGTAGGACTATGTTTTTATTTGAAAAGCTGTTGGACTTTGTTTCATCTAATATTTTATCATCTCATTTTACTATCCCGTTTATATAAAATAATGGCGTTTCCCTACTGCAAAACCTAAAAGTTACTAGTATTCTGTTTTACATTTAAAAATCACATCTTAGTTCTTTCGTTGCCCCCCAAAAAATTTGCCAAGTTTTGAAGGCCAAAATAGCTTGGCGCCAACTTACCTGCTTATGGAATATTAGCCCAATTCTGTTATGTTTTTTAGTGAAAATACATCATTGGGTATGTGGGGAGAACAAACGCAGCAAAAAAATGAGAAGTGTGAATGTGCTATGTGGAAAAACTGAGGTGCTCTTAAAATTTAATTTACCTTTGTGCGTTTTTCATTCATTGTGCATTTTTTTGTAATATGCTCGAAATAGATGCTTATTTAGAAAACTGGTTTATGTATATACGCAGAACTGTCTCCAAGCATAAATGCCATGGGTTGCTAAGTTTTTTTTTTTTTTTTTTTTTTTTTTTTTTAAGTGACAACTAAGTTATATTTTGCTTTGAATAATTAATGTGCTTAATTCAAACGGGATATCAAATGTACTAATTGCACAAGGTGCCAAAAATGCTGAAATATATGCAATCATACATAAAAGTGGTATTTAAGTATTAATACAACTCCCTTTGTAAAGTTGCCAAACTTACAGAATGCATGTTATTCTGAAAACCATGTTCATAACAATTCTTCATGCTACCATTCCTATAACCAGTTCTTGATATTTTACAAGCAATATCATTATTTTTTTTTTTTTTTTTTTTTTTTTTTTTTTTTTTTTTGTATTTTGGGTTTCAACAGTTTTTATCAATGTGATATTTTTTTTTATTGATTTCAATTTTAAAATATCTGCTTGTTAAAATTTGCTGTAATGGAAGTATTTGCAGTAACATTTCTTCAGGAATGCAGTATTTTGTCCTAAAGTCATTAAAGGGACAGTTGCTTTGTATCTATTTTCAAAATGATCGTGAGGAAATTTTATCAGAAAAAAAGATACAGCAATCCACTTGCAAGTTTATTGGTTGATTTTTGAGATAAATACCTAATTAATATTGTATGAAACTAAGCATGCTTGTTAACATGTATGTAACAAGTAATTTTTGGTTTTGTCATATTTCATTCATCTGCCAAACTTCATTAAGTTGGTTGAACTAATACATACAGGGGTTGGACAAAAATATGGAAACACCTTTAAAAAAACATGTTTCTTTGCTTAATATGGTGTAGGAAACCCGTTGGCATCCAAAACAGCTTGCAGTCTTCTCGGAATGGATAAATACAGTTCCTGTATGTTTGCCAAGGGAATATTATACCATTCTTCCTGCAAAACGGTGGCAAGTTCAGATAACGATGTTGGCGGTGGATAACGAGAACGCACTTTCCGTTCCAATGTAGACCACAAAGGTTCGATAATATTCAGGTCTGGTGACTGTGGTGGCCAGGGGAGATGGGACAACTCATCCTCGTGCTCAGAAAACCAGTCCTGGACAATGTGAGCTGTGTGAACAGGGGCTTTGTCGTCTTGGAAGACACCATCACCATCGGGGAACAAAGTTTGTACCATGGGATGAACTTGATCGGCCAAAATGTTCACATAAGTCTTGGCAGTCATGTGCCCTGACACAGTTATCATGGGGCTAGCAGAGAACCACGATATGGCTGCCCAAACCATAACAGAACCCCCGCCATGTTTCACTCTTGGCAACAAGCAGTCTGTATTATAGGCTTGAGATGGCGTTCTCCAGACGTAAACTCGGCCAGAAGTGGGAAACAATGTGAAAGAAGACTCGTCAGACCATATTACTCGCTTCCACTGCTCTATAGTCCAGGCTTTATGACTTAAACACCACCTTTTCCTGTTACGGGCATTAGCATCACTGATGAGTGGCTTCTCAATTGCAGCACGGCCAGCAATTCCCTGTTTATGAAGCTCCCTTCTAATTGTTTTGGTACTCACAGGGTTCGGTAACACAACATTCATTTCAGCAGTAACTTTTGCAGCTGTGGTCTTCTTATTTTTCGTCACAATTGCCCTTAATGATCGTCTGTCACGATCACTCAGGACACACTTTCGTCCGCGCTGTGATTTAGCAGATGATGTTTTTCCGCTTTTCAAATATGCGGAATAAATCTTCGATACAGTACCTCTTGAAACACTAAACACCTCGGCTACCTTGCTTACGGAAGCACCTACCATACGTGCTCCAACAATTTGCCCACGTTCGAAGTCTGTTAACTCTGACATAATGCAATGACAACCTCACATAACAGTACTCCGACAACAACTGAACTGTTTAGCACATTTACGAAGTTGTATAGGTGGCGTCAGTAGTCAAAAATGCCAGCGCCACCTACATATTTCATTAAAATCAATCTTTCTTTTCAAACATGCATTTCACAAGGTGTTTCCATATTTTTGTCCATCTACTGTAAGTACCATAAAAATTTGTATTTATTAAATTTATATGCTATTTAGTACATGAATTAAAATATGTATTTATTACAATTTTTTTTTCTAGGTTTTTTTCAGTCAGAAACTTTGAAGAATTGTTTCATCATGATTTTGGATGATATTATTTACATTTCTTTGTTGTGCTCATCAGTAGCCCTAGCTCCCATCATACGAAATGTGCCAAATCTTCACAACCGTAAATTGTTTTCTACTATTACAGGCCTTGTTGTAGTATTTATCGTATCTGGCTTTCACATTATTCATCCGTTATTTGTCACCTTTATAAATGCATTGATATTACTAATCTGTAGTAGAAGGTAATTTCATCTGTATATCATATTTTATTAATATAAAAGTTTTATTGGATTAAGAAAGTATCAAATTTAAATCTAAAATTAAAATAAATAGATATTCTTTATCATTCAAAATTTATTAATATCATATTATTGCCTATATTTGCAAATATAAACAAATGGTAACCCTTTTACTGTCACAGTATCATTTTGAAAAACGCAGTAGCTTTATAGTGTTCACTAGTAGTTATTTCATGACCTCTTAATAATATAAATGAAAGTAAATACTCGTATGTTTGTGATAAGGTAATGATGCAATAAATGAGATATTTCATGATACTATAAACTTTTGTCAGTGTTTTAGAGTGTGGAAGGATTAATGTGTATTGAATCCATTTATGTAGCATATAACTGTTTAGTAGTAGTAGGAATAAAGTGAAAAATACTTTCATGCGAGCATAAACTGCTGGCTGCTGCTTTTATTTCATGCAGTGCATGTATTGAACTGTAGATTGAAAGCCTTGTTGGATTGTAAGTATGGATGAGAATATTAAAATCCTTGTGTAATTACCACTTATTACTGCCAATATCTTTTGTTCTAACTCATCATATTCAGTTATATATGATATGATCAGAAATGAAGTTTTACTGATGACGGCGAGTTATTTGTGATGATCTGTGAAAGATACTATGAATGAGGCCAATGAACATTAATTTCTTCACTGCCATACTGGACAAGCTACAAATTTATCTTGCTGCATTTTCCAAAACTTACTAACATTTATGAAGCATGGCAGAACTTTTTAAACATATTTATTCAATACTGTTAATTAGAATGATTGCGGAGTGAGGTTTCTGAAATTCATCATGACATCGACAAGTTGGAAAATGATCATTCACTGATAAAAATGGAATTTTATTAAAACTTTAGCTTAAAGAGGATCAAGTTGTGGTTGAAAATGGATAAAACTGAGGAGAAAAGAAGATTACTTAGTATCTGTGATAACTGATTTGTAATTTTACTGCAAGTTCATAATTGCACTATGCATCCATAACTTAACAATATGTTTTAAAAAGTCAAAGCTACAACCTTTTACAATAATTTTTTTTCATGTGAAAATTATATTAGTTTTTAGTATAGCACTATTTATGTAATATTTTATTCTTATGCCAATCAATGACGTGTGATATAGTGACAGCTGATCATATTCTTCAATTATAGCTATTTGTGATGCAAGCTATTTGTGATGATCTGTGGAAGATACCATGAATGAGGCCATTGAATACTAATTTCTTCGCTGCTATACTGGACTTAACTACGTATTTATATTGCTGAATTTTCCAAGAATTACAAACATTTATAAAGCATGGTATAACCTTTTAAACACACTTATTCAATACTGTTAATTGGAATGATTGCAGAGTGAGGTTTCTGAAATTCTTCATGACATCGACAAGAATGTGAAGCAATAGCTGTCATTTTCAAATATTATATTTAAAAAGACAGTTTTTTCTTTCAATCACTTGTCTTTCTTAGTGTCATTTTTGTAAAGAGAATCAAATTTTTATTAAATTATATTATACTTTATAAGACAGTTTTCATTAATATACCCTTGAGTTAGGTGATAGTGTACTTTTTGATAATTTACAAAAATCTTAGTCCCATGCTTATCCACTAGTCAAAGGGTTGACTTTATTGGTGAAATATTTCCAAAACTGCAAATTAAGTTTAAATATTATTTTATACCATTTTACACCCGTACACAGGCTTACTAAGATGAATAATAATGAAAAGTAGCAGATTATTTATTACTAACTGGCATATTAGGGAATATCTCCCTAAAACTGAAAAGATAAATACATGTTATATTAGTGTCTTTCAGCTGTATATAACTACTGATGAATTTCTGTTTCAATATATATATATATATAGATAGATTTATAATCAAGAGATAATAATTAAATCAAAATTGAAGGAAAAACAGGTTAATAAAATTAAAATTTAAAATCATAATAAAATTGATATAATATATATGAAATGGTTGAAAAATCTTCGGTCTTTTTCAAAATGCAGCCGAAGAATTTTCAACAGAGCCATGTTTCTGAATTATATCTAGATGATTGTCAATTCTTGAGACATCTGAAAATTAGAAGAAAGTGACAGTTAAGAATATTAAAGTAATCAATATTAAATATTAAATAAGTGTTTTAAAGTGCAAAAAAGTAGAATTTAACAAATGTTTTAAATTTAATTAATCATCATGATATATTCTGCTCCTGTATGACCCTAAAATAATCTTTGAAAAATAAGCATTAAAAGAAAGATAATAAGCATCAAATAAAGAATGCTCAAGTAAGAAACCAGGAGAAAATTTTGGGTAACTAAAAGCAATGTGCTAAATAAATTTCTAACCAAGGAATGAGCAGAATTGCCAAATGCTTTTTGTAAACCAAAGGCCAAAGAGTTTTTTGTAGAACCATAAATGAGAATGCTTAGTTTGCATTTCATTCTGATAACACAGAAAATATGTATATTCTAAGCATCTCTCCTGAACTTATTAAATGATCTTTACGTGTATGAGTCTCATAAATGACCAGTCTGTTTTGTAAGATATCAATTTATAAATTTTGATGGGTGCTTATTTATTTATTTAAATTTATACATAGTAGATGGATGTAGATGTGTGTATATGATATAGCTTTGAAGAAAAGAAAAAGTGGGGAGAAATGAAATTTCTGTCTTTTTAATTAGGTTGAATATTGTATTAAAATTATACATTTCCATATTATCTGGAATGAATTATTCATATTTGTTGGGTTTTGTTTACATTTTAAGTTCTTCGCTAATTTCCTTCATTTATAAGCCCACCTCCAAAAAACAGGAATCCTAAGAAGCTTATTTTATTTTTAATGCAGAGAATGTAAATAAATTGAAAACAGTATTCTTTTAAAAATAAAGTCTGAATACTTTAGCATAGCTACCAATTTTCCCAGTTTTTCATCACATCTCCCAGTCTCCCAAAAGATCACTAAATCTGCTGGGTTTTAATTTTTAGACTTTGCCGAGGAAAGTGTTTTTCAGCAATAGGTGAAATTTATTCAATTAATGAAACTTGAAATTGTGCAAATTGTGTTCCCTATCTTTAAGTGATTTTCAGCATAACTATTCTTATTAAATTTGATTTGATTTGAATTGTCTTATTCTACTGTATATATTTCTAGAATTTCATATGAAGATTTAACCAGTATTTAAGTAGTTAATGTTCATATTTAATATTGCTTTATATCAACATATTTTACATTACTAAATTTATCTACACAATTGTATGTACATTAAAATTATTAATAATAAAGGTCAAACCGTTATGTTTTGGCAACTGGGGACTTCGATATCAGAAATGGTGCATTTAGTGGCCTGTGAATGTGCAGTTATTCTGAGCACATATTGAAAGTGTGGTATGGATGGTGAAACAACAAGTTGCTGGCTCATTGATTCCAGATGAGAGCAGAGATTGTTATGCATTGTTCACTATGACCGAAGAGTTACAACAGCCGAAATCGCCACCATCTGCAACAGTGGTGACCCAGACAGTGTTTTTCAACACACTGTGCAGTGTACATTGCTGCATATGGGCCTACGCAGCCAGAGACCGAAGCATGTCTTGCACTGATGGCACGTCATTACCGGCTGCTTCTGCAGTGGGCCAAGAAACATTGGAATTGGACATTAGAAGAATGGAAGAAATTTGCATGGTCCAACGAATAACGTTTTCTTATCCATCACATCAACGGACGTGTGCCAATATGCCAATTTCCAAATGAAACCCTCGCTCCCGGATGCAAAATTGGACGGAGACAAGCGTGTGGGTGGTATTATGGTGTGGGCAATGTTTTCAACATTAGGACCCATAATCCCCATCGAACAATCCTCGACATCTGTTCGCTATATGAACACCGTTGCAGGCCAGGTTCATCAAGTCAAGACAACAGTATTTCCAGCAGGGAATGGTGTTTACCAACAGGGTAATGCAGCATGTCATAAGGGTGGAATTGTCAGAGAGTGGTTTGAGGAACATTCCAGTGACTTTCAAGTCATGTCTTGGCCTCCAAATTCACTTGACGTTAATCCAATAGAGCATTTGTGGTCCCACCTGGAAAACCAAATTCGTGCTGCCATGCTACCCCCTAGCAATGTTCGGGAATTGCAGGACCAGTTGGTGAGTGTGTGGTACCAGATATCTCAGACTACCTAGCAGAAACTAGTGGAGTCAATGCCACACTGGGTGCTGGCAGGTTTGAAGGCTAAAGATGATCGTACATGTTATTAACAGGGTGGATATAATGCAATGGCCCTTTGGTGTATTTTAAGTAGCCTATTCTACTTTTCAGGCATTGAATTAAAGTATTTCTGTGTATAGCAAAAAATACTAGAAATGCATTTTATTATTTATTTGTGCTATTATTTAATATTTTAATTTGTTCTTTTTCCAGGGTATGTCATATTGTCAGCGCTATCTTCTGTTTTGTCTATCTTGCTTTTTTCCGGAGCACTCATTATTTTGGTCTTCCTATTCCTCCTCCTCATACTAATGCTATACAAATGATACTTACATTAAAGGTAATGAATGATTGTTTGAATATATACTTTTCTTGCTTCTTGGGGAGGGGGGGCAAAATTCTGTAATTATATTTATACTCATTGTTATGTTTGTATCTCAAATAAAAAGTTGATCTTTTTCTATTATACGATGTAATGTATCAATAGCAACAAATAATTCATTGGATTAAAGTAATTTTACAAGACCATGAAAATCCTGTGAAGTCTGCTATAGGATTTACAGGGTGGTAGAACTGGCATAGAAAATATGTTAAGGGACAACATCTTTAAAGCTCTGATTTTGAACATGTATTAAAAATTTTTGAAATAAGAGCAAAAATGACTTGTGAATTCACCTTCAGCATCAATTGCAGCTTCCAGACATGCTTGGAAGTGAAGACAGGTGCATTTTTAAATTTCAGAACTCGAATCTTAAAATGCTTGACAAGTTATTTTTCAGAATTCGATATGAGTGCCACAAGGAGTCTTAGTGATCCTTTCAATTTGAACTCCTATACGGAATATTCAAAAGGATCGCAGACAGAGCCCGGATGTGGGTGAGACACTTGTCTCAGGTGAACAACTAGAAGGTGCACCAAATTATTTATGAAAATTTAGAAATTCATTTTTAAAAAAGAAGTTATGATTGTTGGCTTTCAACTTTGGAACATGTTAACAAGTGTAAATGTTTTTTTTTTTTTTTTTTTTTTTGTTTTGTTTGTTATAAATAATCCAGCTGAATCAAGTGAAGAACTTGCAATATTAATTTTTCTCAAAATGCCAGGTTTCACAGCATTATATGTACAGTTTTCTAATATTATAATATGTTATTTGAACAAAAGAGTTTTACTTGATTTATACTTCTAAAGAAAAGCTAAAAAAGAGCTAAATAAACTTTCTTAGGAAGCATTAGGTTGCTAGCATTAATGTTCTCTACTAGCTCCCCTAAATTTTAACTACAGTCTTACTCCATCATAACAAGCTGTCTAAAGTCCACTAACTGAGCATAGATTGAGATGCAACTTCCTAATTTGTTGCAACTTATCTAGTGGGTAAAAGGGTTGTTGAAATAGACCAGGAGACTAAATAAAGATGTTTGAAAATGAAATGTACCATATTATCAATCAGTCTTTTGCGTCACATTTTGTATACAATTAATTTGCTGTTGAAGGAGAGCATAGTTTGAAGTTTTGTGTTGTTAAATCCATACTTATTCTGCACTGGAACTGTGCACTTGTTTACACTTATTTCTGGAAAAGTTCGAGACATTAGTGAAAGGGTTAAATAAAATGACATTAGTCTGTAACATTTTTTTAACTTGCAATGTAAACATATGTAAGAAATGACTGTTTTTTTGTTTCATTTATTTAAGTTAGGTTCTATTTTTTATAATGAAACAATAAAGGAAATTTAGTATCAAAGAAGTAAAAAAAAAAAAAAAAAAATTACGATTTTGAATTTTTTGTAAGAGATTTAAGACAAAAAGTTGTGGCTGATACTAATATAACTGAAAATGATAGAAAAAATATCTTTTAAAAAGTTTAGTTTCCATTGATTGTAAGTAATTGAAAAAAAAAAAAAAATTTTTTTTTTTTTTTTTTTTTTTTTTTTTTTTTTTTTGAAATATTGAACTGGAAAGGAAGGATCAAAATGAGAGCAATTGCTGTTAGAGATGCTGTTCATTTAAAGATTTGAAATAAAAACTAGAAATTAAAATCTGCGAATAAAATTTAGTTCATAAAGACCTAATGTAATGTAACAATTTGATGTCCCCTGAGCTAATGTTTAAAAATGAATGCATTAACTATTGAAGAAACTTTTATCTATTTTACAGGAAAAATTAGAAAGAGGTAGCAGTGGTTTAGTAAAAGTTGGTCATAAGTTAGAAAAGATAACTTTGACATTCAAAATGTTCAAGGCTAAGCATATGATATGCTTAATTGTACAAAGGTATGCAAGCCCTTATCTGACAAAGAAATTATCAAGCTAAATACTGTGTTTCTTCTCAGCTCTAGTTTAAATTTTATCTGCAAAAATCCTGCTTCTAAAAATTTAAGCTGGTTAATATTTTTTAAAGCTGTACAGAAAACATATTTTTTTCTTTTTTAATGCACTTTCAACAAGTAGAAGGGATGTTGTCATGCCTGATTTAAAAATACTATTAAAAGGTTACATGGATACACATTGAACATCAAGAACAAACACTATCAAAGAATTATCTACAAATATCCAACATACATTGGCTATTAAAAACATGTGGCATTAAAAAATTAATCATTGAAGTGGTGAAAATAGTGGGGAAACATTTTGAAGCAAATAAATTTCATATTTTTATGTATGTTGTCTGTGTGGAATTTAATGCTGCAAGGAACAGAAAAAAATAATAAAGCCTTGAAATCTGACACTATAACTGCATATCCAATCAAATGCTTTGTTTAAGATTCTCGTGCGGTACGTAAGGGAATTGAAGGCAGTCACCGTGCAGGACGGGGGGTTTTGTATTGCTAAGCCTAATTTCATAAAAAAAAATCAGAAAAAAGTTTCACTTCTAGCCTCATAATTTTTAGTATTATTTTAGATTATTACTTGAGCTCTGATATATGTTAAAATTAGCATTTAATATTCTTTTTTTTCTTTATTTTACATGAAAATATATTAAAAAAATTGCTTATCTTGTAAAGTAATTTTTGGAAGCGCTATTCAAATTATTACAAAGTTTTAATTGATAAAACCCATCAATAATGTTTAAAATTAATAAAACAATACAAAAAGCCTTTTTACAGTAAGAAGTAACAAAATTTAAAATGAAGACTGAGTGTGGTAAATCTTGAAGCACGGAGAAGTATCACTTTCTAACTCTTAGAAAAAGTATCACTTTCTAACTCTTTAGAAAATGAATCATCACTCTTATCTGTGTTAGTAAATGGTTCATTAGCCATAGGAGTGTATTCTTCCTCTGAAAAATAGCACCTTCACGCCATAATAGACTGAAGGGAAGGCTTTCCGAAATAAAAAGAGAAGAATCCAAAATATGTCTGAAGCAATGCAAAACATAACTGACCTCCACATATTAACCCTAAAAGACCATACATGATAGAGGGAAAAATAGAATAAAAAAAGGAATTGGATATAAATCAGACACGTGAATGTTTATATTAGCACGCCCCGATTTAAAGAGCCTACCTTGTTTACGCTATCCCCACCAACCTTCGCAACAGTTGATGAGTAAAATACCAAAGTCAGACAGAATATATCAAACTCAAGGTTAGGAACTAAAACTGTGTTCATTTCAAAAATAATGGACATAGGAAGCGATGTAGTGGCCTTCAGGAAAACGTTCCAGCTTAAAATGCATATATGCATCACCTGTCCTCTGAATACTATGTCTAGTGATGTGTGGATGGGACTCCCATCTGTGAGAGAAGTTCTTAGGGTATGCGTGTATGGGACGCCCATCCTGAAGGGGTTAATACAAAGCTTATATCTTTATTTCCACCAGACAAGAGAAAATATTCTTAAAATATAAAAACAGCGTTTAAGAAGAAAGTTCAGATATGTTAACAAAATTTAAACAGAAATAGAAAAGACAGGTTAGTAATTCATATTATCAAGAATCAATTGATAAGAAAACTATTTTTTCAGGTGTTTTAATATATATGTGTTATGTTCACAATAGATATACGAGTAGATGAATGAAAAATTACTCAAATTATCTTGCAATTTTTGTTTTTAATTGTTGGAAAATTAAAAGTCAAAGGCCATTTAGTTCAGGTAATTTAAAGGTAGCACTTAGCACTTCAATATGCTATAAATGCTGCAGAAACTCAAATAGAAATATTAAATTAAAAAAAAATTATATTATTTTAATAATTTCGACCACCCTAGAGCTGGTTCAAGGTTAGATCTTTTAAAAAATAATTCATGTCATATTCAGATTTCAAAACAGCTTTCAGAATATATTTAACATTGGCAGTGGGAAAAGGAGCTTCAATAAACTTAAAATAATAAAAAGTTATATGAGACCTTCATATGGTTAAGAAAACTTTCAAACGTGATAATTTTTTATATAGAACATGGATTAAGTGATGAAATAAATTAAAAAGAATATATTGCATTGCTTCTGCTTAGTTAAACTTAAGAAAAATTAAATTCTAAAAATGGCTTAAAAATTAATAGGATTACTAGATAATATATACAGATGGAGTTAGCTTGATTCGACGTTCAATGAGATATTTTCGTTGAAAAGCCAGATTGGAAGTTGAATTCAGCTAATTTACCATTTTCCTCTTTCTATTTTTATCTGATTTTGTTTGTTTTATGTTTTAACTTGTTCCTTGATTTAATTTTCATATGTTTTAATTTTTCAAGTGTCACATCCATAGGTATTTTACTGTATTTTTTGCCATTACTAGTTTCCAACGCTAAGTATTTTACTGTGTTTATTTTCTTTTCTCGTGTAATTTCTAGTAAGTTTCTCTTAATTGTAGCATAATTTCTCACCCTTCAATGACATTGTTTTTTAAAATGTGTTGAACTTTTTGGAGCCACAGCTCCTGGTAACTTTTAGGCGAGCTTACTACAATTTCTAATTTACTTATTTTGCAGCATAGTGCGCAAAATGTTTTCTAGACCAAATTGGTCATACAGTATTGTACTAACTACCTTGCTTGTTATATTATAGTTATATTATATATATATGTATATATATAACTTTCTAAAGTTAAGTAAAGTTTCTAAAGTTAAAAGTAAATTGGAGTCAAAGCAAGGCAATTTCTCAACAATATTAATAATTGCATCCTTGTAAGAGAGGTTCTCTACAATATCTAAACAATTCAAAATTTAAAAAAGGATCATAGTAGTACAAACTCAAAAACTAAAAATGCAAAAGGGAAAAAATATACAAGATAATAAAAATATAAAAATTAATCTCCTTTTTATGAAACTCGAATTCAGAACTCATCAGGGGAAAGTGAATTAAAGCTTCATAAAAATCGATTAATATGCTTCGAAAATGTGTTTCG